GAGAGAGAGAGAGAGAGTGAGAGAGAGAGAGAAAGAGAGAGAGAGAGAGTGAGAGAGAGAGAGACATTGCTCTTCTAATCGTTTTACGAACGAACATCGCAACACGATATACGCGCGCTTATACATACATACTTGCGCGTGAAAGAAAAAAAGCCAGCAAACAAAGGGATCCAATTACCTGCAGTTCCAAGGAGGGATCTTGAATGGAGTGGGCGATTTTGTGAGCCCTCTGAAACGCTTCCAGAGCTTTGCAGAATCCCGCTAGTTCTAAGTGAACTCTGCCTACTGTTAAGTGAACTAGTCCAGCAGTAGCGCACTGATCGCACTCGTTATACAAACTGCGGAGGTTACAAAATAAATTAGCTCGTTAAAAACATCTATCTCATGAGATACAATCACGTTTTTATCCATTTATTTATTTCGGATCGCTTTATTATAGTTAAATTTCTTTTTTTTTATTAAAATCTCAGTATTATATTAATACAGATTAATACGCTGTTTCTACGGGAAAACGGAAGAGGCTCAAACCTGTGCCGAGCATAATCTAACGCTCTATCCAGAGCGCCTAATCTCTCGTGAGCCCTAGCTAAGTTCAAATACGCTTCCGCTCGCATGTTTGGCGAATCCAACTCTTCAGAGATACATAGCTGCTTGTTGCCAAATTCGATACTGTCTCTGAAAGGAAAGAAAATTCACGCGATGACGGAGGAATCGCGGCTAATGTTTCGAACATTAATAAATATCAATAACATCTCTTGTGTAACGTAGCTGAGAGATAAAAATTAAACGAGAACAAAATTGATTGACTTGCAACTTAATTACTCATGACCTGTAATCTACCTGTATTTGCCCCAATCCATGTACGCTTGATACAAATATCCGAGAAGGGTGAATTTATCCTCGCGTTGTCTGATGTTTTTCAGTGCGCCCCTCCATTTTTTAACCGCGGCTTGTTGCTTGTGAGCTCGGTACAGTTTCAAACCTTGTTCCATCTGAGGCAAATACGAAATAACAATTCTGTGTTCGATTCATCACAAGCAAAGTATAACAGTTTGTGTTTGTAAGAAACTAAAAAAATTTCATATCCAATATTATATTTTCCGCATAAAAATATCTTTGAATAGCAAGGAGAAAAAACAGTGAATTCTAATCACTTATTGCCAGTTTGTGATTTGTCGTTCCAAGTTTTTCAATATATATCCTCATTTCCAGACACACACGTTATCTCTATAAATCCTTGAATTTCCGCTTATCATCACACGCGCCCTTGTATAGCTATATAACCGGTCTATTATTTATTCGATATCCAACGGACACTTCGTAGTCAGCTATGAACAGAGACCACACGACCAACCTCGAAATCAATGTTCTTGTGAAATTGACATTGAGTTAATATCGGCCTACTAAGACAAAGATGCAACCTTCGCGTAAGCGCATGTGCAAGACAAAAAGAAAAAGAATGAACTATTAATATAAGCGACACATCGATAGGCGATAATTATAAAACGAGACGAAAACGCATTACTATCGTATTATACATTGTGCACGAGAGAGAAAGATGTAAAAAATATATGTAAGTTACGAAGATAAGATATTATAATTCTTATTTAAGCGATTTTTACGTCGTCCACTTATACATGTCGGACTTAATAAAACACGTAGGCCAAATATGATAGATTGCCAGGAACAGAGACCGCGATAGGCGCGTTGCGATCTTTATCACGCAGCAATAACCGTAGGTAATGCGGCACATATATGAGAGTAAACGTAGAAGGCCGTATCGATCTGACCCTGAACTTTGTCTCGGACAGATTAAACTCTACGATAAAATATAAATAGGATCTTGAAGCACATAAAATTACTTTCCACATGCGTGTGTGCATGGTCGAGATAACTTCCCGCCCGCTTGAATTTCAACGAGACAAAGTTTGAAAACAGATTGGACCAATCCGAACAGAAAAGTCATGTAATACCACTTTTACCAAATTCGTAATAACTAATGAGATAGTAATTAATATGAGCCAATGAGTACGTAAGAAGCGATCAACCAAACTCTATAGGCGTGTATAAAACTATGTAATTTTCAGTGCTGTAAAGAAAAATTTGCTTATATTTTGTACAATCTTTCTAGCAACGACATGCAGCGCGACTTCTTGTTGTCGGCTGATTTTCACGGCGATGTAACGCAACGAGCGAAAGTCCACCTCATCGGTTCTCAAAAGTTGTACATGACTTTTTCTATTTACATTGACCTAAATTATATTTCAGCTGTGTAAAAAAAAATTACAAAAAAGTTTGCGAGTTTAATTATTTATTTGTTGTAGTTTACTATTAAGATGTAAAAATGTTCTCAGATCTTTGATTGATCGATCGTGCAATTTCAACGAAAACGGTAAATACAAATTACTTACGCTTGTTACCGCGCAAAGGAGATATCATGGATAAGCTGTCGGGCACGAAATGCGGAATCATAAGTTTTGCTAAGTGAAACATGTAAACACGGTACAAGCGCAACACTTGAATTTTAGTGGTTACGAAAGGATAGCGTGACCGCGGCTACAGCATGCACATCGTGAACTTGACAGTGACCGATAAAGCATGCTCATCCGCGAAATACGTTTCGTTATGTGGCCAATGTGCTCCCGTCGCTCGTCTGAGAGATCTTCAGATTCTGTGGTATTCTCGTTTGACATATTACATCACTCTCTCTCCGATCGCTTTGATACACTAAACCGCTCCGACGCGACGATGGGCGCTTGAGGAACGTTTAGCAAAGAATTAGTTGTAATTAAATTAATTTGCGAGATCATTAACAATGTAGTAAGTGTTATCGTGGCGTGCGGCCAATTTCGCTTCTAAAAGCACCGCGTTTGTCTAAAATTATAATCGCTTCTTCACATTCTGAGATAACATTTGGCACGCATTTCGAAGTAAGAGCTTTATTAATAAATTGAAACACCTGAATAGAGATGACGCGTGTGTGTAGCAAAATTTCCCACAGAAATATAATCGCGGAATTATATCTACAGTATTTATCTTGTTGCCATTTTTTATGTTTATATGTTTTGTGTGTGTCAAAAAATTTATATTTTAAGAAAAGTTTTAATTTTTTGCCGCAAAATTTATAATCATATTCATTATCTTATATTTTTTTAATTGCTTTTATATAAAATCATTAATTGTAGTCTTTACTTAATCTAACTAATTCTATTTCTTTCAAGAGAATTGAGAAAAAACACATCGTAAGATACTGACCCTTCTTCGAGCTAACTGTTGATCGAGCCGTTTTCTGCAGCTTATGAGACACTCCCATATACCCGATCTGCCATTTTGATAATGGCCATTGCTGCTGTTGCCATTTTGATGCCGGTAATCCTCCTCGGTGAACTCGCAGACATCGAGAGGATGTCTCGATCCATCGGGGCTACCGAGCAGCGCGGTCGCCGAGAGTTGATGACTCGCCGATCCGCTGTTAAATTTTCAAATGTTCGATGATCTCTTCAGAATATCGCGACACAAATATCAAACCATTTATATGAGATAAATTTTGCAATTACTTGCCACTTAATATTTTCAATATTTGATTATTCGTACTTTTTGATCAGATAATAAATTTTATACTCCGATTTTGTTATGACCAAGAGAGAGAGAGAGAGAGAGAAACCAATTGTTCTCTGGATAAAATCTTTGAAAAAAATAATATAACATTTATTTTACAATAATTGTAGAATATCACTCAAAAAAAAAATTGAATATATGATGTTAAACTAGTTATGATTTAATTTAGTTTCTAATCTGTTATTTTAAGAAGAAACTATGTTTTACACACAAATATATTTCTTGGAAATTTGTTGTATCATTTTTTTTATCAATAGCAATATCACCACTTAATTCCTTAAGAATGCCAACTAAGAGTTATCGAGTAGCTGCGGAATTCCATGTGCTGTCCGTAAAATCTGATGATAGAAATCTAAAGAAGACGTGTAACCGAACGCCTCGTATTTTCACAACATTGATCGCTTAAGTGTTTTAGAAATTCTAAAATTGTTCTCGTGTATAATTTATATTTATAATATAATTCATATTTGTGAGAGAAGCTACATTCTCTTTTCCTAATATTCGCACGACGCCCAAAGTTGCATGTACATAAATTAGCATTATATATATAAATTATACATATAAATAAACAACAAACTTAAATTACGTTTCATGATATAATTGAAACTATAAATTTCAATAATGATGCCAAAATAAAGAAACTAATAAATAATATTTTAATATAAACTTCAATATCACAATCATATACGTCCTCATTTCCTGGACCAATTTCTCACAAGCTCGTGTCAAACGTCGGATGATGGATGCGGGTAACTGACCTCTCGCGAAGGTTTCATGTGTGTATGCGCAAACTCTTATAATTTATTTCTAGGACGAACGGAAGGAGTACGCGCGGAGATAAACCTCTTTTGGCTGCTGTCCTAGAGGTTGAGTTTGCAAACTGCGCGTCGAGGAAGTTATGAAGTATAGAGGCTTCTATCCCGCACCTCATCATATCCTTTCTTCATCTAACGAGTTTTTAGGTCGGTTCTCGGACATTTTCTCATGAAAGTTTAAACAAAACGCCCGTGTTTTACAGTTTTAAAATATCGTTTTATGTGTGAATCGTTAAATATATATAAAACCGCGAAACATTTTAATATCAAAGATAGAACGATCATAATTATCTCGTCTATTTTTCTGATACTTGATAAAAATCCCACGAGAGTTACAATCGATCGCAAATTACTTTCCATCCCTCTAAAGTTTCTCGAAAACACTTGCGTGTCTATAAACAAGCGTGCATACATGCTCGTTCGGTTACGTTTGCGCGCGCGCGCGCGCGCGTGTGTGTGTGTGTGTGTACAAGGCTGTATCGTGTAAAGCGAAGAGTATACGACACTCTATCGCTTTCCTACCACGTTCGCTAGGTGGGCGAGGCACCTGCGACCTCTTTTGCTGACCCATTTACGAGCTACGAGATATGGTACGGCGTTGCGATTCTAAGTGGAAAATCGAACCGTCCCCTAGCTTTTCCACGTGTCGAGAACGATCAACGAAATACAGTGTTCGATCTCACCATTCCCTATTGTTCTATCTTTTGTTTTTTTAAAATATTTTCTCCTGGCTTACATCATTGTAATAAATTAAATGTAAAGTTTAAATTAATGTTTAAAAACAATTTTAGCCAAATAGTGTAAATAAAAAATAAATGTATAATCATTTTATAAATATATTGTATGTATAATCATGTTATAAATAACTGTAAAAACACTCTGCGTTATTTATAAAATAAAGATGTATAACTGTGTTCGGTGAAAAAAAAGTATTATTGTTATTCTTGTTATAATAATAATAATTATTATTATTGTAATTAAATATTCTTTACCTTTTTAATAACAAACAATTATATCTCCTTATTTTAGAATCTTTCTCCATATTAAGCATTTTTCTTTTTACTTACATATTCTCTCCGCAACGAAATAATTACCTATCTATGGAGCACTCTATTTTTGTAGCTCATTATTACACTTGATTGTTGAGATATTATTGACTGAATTAAGAGCAATCTATGTTATTATCTTTTAATACATAATACAAAGTGTAAACATGATTTCTCGAAAAATAATATCCGTAATATTGATTGCATTAAAAAAAAAAATGCTGCGTCAGGAAAAATTTACATATATTCATTTTATTTATAACAATATTTTCTCTTTAAATTCGCGCTTAACATTAAAAAGTGACCAATTATGGTTGCAAATCGTTCTGTCGTTTTTGTGTGCAATTTAACCACAAAATTTCTGAAAGATTAATGTATCTAGCGGAGAGAAACTATGTCTAATTATCTCTCTAATTTGAAACTCAGTTTTACTACTTGGAGTTGAATAAGTGTACTTACCCCAAGTAATCCCTAGACGAGATAGACTCCCATGACATGGTTGTATGTCTTCCTTGCCGCTGCTTCTTTTCTTTCTCCTTTTTCTTCTTCTTTCTGTGCCGCGGTGCAGCTGTTTCTTTTCTGGTTCTCTTTTCGATTCTCTAATCTCATCTCTCGCCGCCAGCATTATCCCGTTCGCGCATCCGCATGTGATAGGGCATATCACTTTCTTCTTGTGCTTTGCGAACTACACTTAGGCGCAATCACGCCAAAACTCGATACAAACTCGGAGCGCCGATTTCCAGGTCGTAATCGTCCGCATTCAATCGATTCCAAAGACGGATGTTCGACGCTTGTGTAACGCTTGGTATCGGATAGTACTATCTATCGCGCGACGACGAGCTCGGGAATTGCGCGAACAACGATCGAAATTCCGTAGAACTGGAGACACGCGAAGGCTGCGCTTCCATTCACATCGATCATCTTACGGATTTAATCCCGTTGTCTCTCTCACCGCAAAAAAAAAAGCAAATACTTGTACTTATAATGTTCAATTAACGAGCAATGAAACACGTGCGTTTTCAAGCTCGAAGAAAACTGAATATAGATTTTTTGTGTATAATTTTGTGTAAAGATATTATATATATATATATATATATGTATGTACACATACATACATATATATGTATATGTCGAGAGTGCAAAGTGACGAACGATCTCGAGACGATCAGAAAGATTTTTAAGTTCTAGGACTTTCATGTGGACGCGCGAGAGAGATGTGCGCGAAGTGATTGTTTATTCGATCGTTCCTTGTTCCAGAAGGACAAATTCAGAAATGGGACTTGGATCGCAAGCCGATAGTTATTGAGGTAGATTGAGGATCTCATCGGCGGAAGAGGGGGACAGTTGGACAGACTCGATGCGTTTAAACTTACTATAACATACAAGAGGGATTACATACCTCGGTCGAAAAAAATAATTTGCACGCCTGCGTGTCTTTGTACTTATAAAGCCTAATTGAGCACCGTGGACTCGCGCAAGTACTCGCGCGCGTTGACAACGAAAAATCTTGTTAGTCTTTTTCTCTGTCTCCCGTTTCTTTCTTTTTATAGGTGTTTTGGTTTTTAATAATTGGCAAATGTTTCGTGGCAGTTTCTTCGGTCGAATGCTGCTCGACTAAGATCTCGTTGCAGATCTACGATTCTCAACACGTGTGATACACAAACGATCGCTCGAGTCTCACGGTACTTGAAAGTATTTCCGTCGCTCCTTCCGTCAGTACTCTCACAAAATACATAATCGCAGAAGTAAATAGCTTCTTCTTGTTCCGCTTTCTCGGTCCTCAGTTGCGCAATGTTTTATTCTTCGAGAACTTTGTTGTTATTTTTCGTTCACTTAATTTTTTTCTAATATATATACGTACACATGTACTTTTATCAATATTTGATTATCGAGAATCGCGTAACATTATATACTATGTAAGTCTTCAACGTTGTGATTTAGATCTATGAAGATTTAACACACATATAGCATCTATGACGCATTTATATAAATTTATAACATGTATATATTTCTTATACATTAGCAGAGACTCACGCAGCATCGCGTGTCTTGTGCGCGTGTTTTGTGTACCCGTATGTGTATGCATATGCACGCACTTTTCCTTATCGAACGCATTTAATACCTCGCTAAAACAATCGGCTGTGTCTCAAATGTGTTGCTCGCGTGTCGGACGGTAGTGAACGTGTGTTTAGTTTAACGCACTTAATTTCTTTTAGAGAGTAACAATAAAAATGCGAGGAGCTTATAGTTACCGAGTGTCACCCACATTTATATCAACGTTTACGTGAACGAGACGGATGAATGAAAATTAGAAACCAAGAGTCTGGGAAACGATCGTTTCTTCAAGTGCCTCTCTCGTACTTTTTCAAGCTTCACGCTTCTCTAAGATTTTCGGTTTGGCGCGTTTGTTCAGCACCGGAGAGGTTAAGGGACTCGCTGTCCCCGAAACTAGGAATCGCGGCAGCCCGCGGTGTCCCAGTTACTGCCGGTGACCCCTGGCGCGCTTTTTCACCCCCTCCGCGAGCCAACGAGCGCTCTAACTTGGCGAGAGCTCGCGCAAGATATACGGATTCTCGTCCGCGAGATGTCTGGCAACTCCATGAACGATTCTCTTAAACCGCTCCTTCGACGATCGCTTCGAATGATTAGTCGACGTTTCTTACAAATAAGAATATTGGCGTAGCAGTGTTAACGTGTGCATAGGAGCTGATACTTAGAATTAGAAACGTGCGCGCATTTCTATTGGCGAATATCTCGCGATTAAATCACGGATAAATATCCCGCGCGAATCTTCGTTGACGATTCGTTCCGCTGACTATCAGCGTTCGAATTCGGCGCTCATCGTGTGTTCGCGTACGTTCAAGAGTCGAGCAGTAGTAGTGACGTGTAGTAGTAGTAGTGGTAGTAGTAGTAGTAGTAGTAATAGTAGTAGTAGTAGTGGCAACAATAGCAACGCGGCCGTTCCCGCTCGCTGACGATGAGACAGTAGCAGCCTTCTCGCGCGCCTCGAGGCGTTTCCTCATACCGTTGCTGATTGATCCCCCGTCCGTCTCCTCGGTTTCAGGCCGCGATCCGGCCTTGTCCCCCTTCCGTCTTGTGTCTTTGCCGCACCACTACTGCTATCCCTGTCGTCCTGCGTCTTCGGCGCCTCCGCCGTCTTCGTTGTCGACGTCGCGCGCGCGGAAACCAGCCGTTCGCGGCCGCTCGCTGTCGCAACGAGGACAGCCGAGGCCGCGACACGCGGAAGGTTACGGGCGCGCGATGCGGATCGAGAGTGTCTGCTCGTCGCACACCCTTCCGCCCCTTTGACCCCTCTTCTCTCTCTTTTTGTTTTCTCTCTTCCTCTTATTACGGCGCGCGTACAGGGTTGGTCCTGTCGCGGAGGGTGTTACGCCGCGCGGCACCCGCGAAAATCCACCGCCGGTGGCCGGAGCAGAACTGTCGCGCAGCAGCCCGCAACACACGACCCAACCGATCCTCACTACCCCCGTCGCCCTCGGTTTCACTCCCCCGTTCGTGTTCTACCGCCTGTTCCGCCGCTGTCCTCCACCCTGTGTTGGTCTTTTACTCTCTTCCTCTCCCTCTCTCTCTCTCTCTCTCTTTCTCTCTCATCTCCCCGTTTTCCTTCTCTGTCTGTCTCACTCCTTCCGCCCTCACGCTATCTCCGTTCCGCCATCCCTCTCGGCTCCGCGCCGTGGTTCACCCGCCGTGGCTCTATTCTTCTCTCTCTCTAACCTTATCTCCCTACTCTTCGTGTTCTCATCCCCTATATTCTTCACCGCCGCTTCTTCGGTTCTGTCTATCGCCAGCAAACCCTACGACGAAAGTTCTTCTCTTTTGCTCTCCCTGCGGCCGCTCTCAACCCTGTTTCGCCTATCAGCTTCATACTGCTCTTGATCTCTGTCCGCCTATCCCATCCTCTTATCTCTGTCTTCATCTTTACGTTGACGTCGAATGGCCAAGTTTCACCTATATTTCGACTTGTTAGTCGACCTCGTAGTGTACAGTCTTTTTAAACGCCACTCGATATGTTGATACGCATTTTTTACCGCTAAAGCACAATCAAAATCTGTGAGCAATAAAAACAATAATTCTAGATCAGTGGTTTGCAAACGTTTTTGATGTCGCGCTTATAGCGGTAAAAATAAATAAAATGCATCACCAAAAAATATTATCTTTATAAGATATTGAATTCTTATTGTAAATATTTTAATAGGTTTGCAATCGATTTTCCAAGTTTAGAAATTAAAAAAATGTAATTTAGTAATCTTGTAATTAAAATTCTGTTTGAACAACGTTATTTTGTTTAAAAAAAATCGATTTCAAGAAGTTTAATTTGTTACAAGCCTCTAATTAATAACCTGTTCGTGCTGCGATATTAACATTATTTGTCACCGAGTTGTTTCGAGTTTGTCTTTTAAATCTTATCGAAAGTTTATAAAGAAGCTTCTTTGAAAAGACAACATGTATAATCACATCTACCTCATTAAATAAATTTACACGGCGCGAATAAGAATTTCCTTTATAAGAATGTTTGGGAATTGATTGTAAAATTTGTAGTTTTAATATTTTTATTTTAAATATTTTTAATAAAATAATATTTTTTAATAAAATAATATTTTTTAATAAAAAGTAACGGATTTTGTTTTACTTTTCTACTCTTCACAAATATTTTATATGTATCAAAGTTATACAAAACGAAATGATATTCTTTTTTCGAAAAGAAAGCATGACTTGTAACGACACAAATAAAGATCCTGCCTAAACGATTAATGTGTCAAAGTTAAGAAAAATTGTAATACGTTATTAGATGATTCTGTCTCGCCTTTGGCGTCTGACTAGAGAATTGCGTATCTTCGCTCTGGGACTTTGTCTGACTTTTGATAAAATATCGCGTAAGCATCGAAGCGCGTACGAGAGATTCTTTCTTTGCCCCAAGAGACGATATCTTCCGATATTTCCTGTAAGATTAAACGTGCGCGCTTCTTCAGGATGTGCGATGCACTCGGAAGGCTCGGAAGGGAAGCGTGGTGACACGCAGTGGCACTCCGACGATCAGCTGTCGTCTTTTTCTCAAACAGCGGACACGTTTCCCAGTTTTACTGCTCGAAAGTTGTAAAGCCTAATGGAATGCGAGCACGTTTTAGCGATGTCACTATATCGGCATTTAAGTACAAGCGACAATAAAAGCTTTTTTCCGGCTCACCGAAAGTGATAAAGCATTTCTTGCATCAACGAAAAAAATAGCTTGTTGTGTTATGAGCTTTATATTCTTTCTTACTTATATTTTCATTGTCTCAGGTGATAAAAATAAGATTCTATAATTATATTTTAGAAATCTCTCTTATATATGTACATTCTCATACATGATACATATGTATATGATATATGAAATGTATATATATATATATATATATATATATATATATATATGATATTTATACATTTTCATATATATTATATATACATATACATATCTTTTATATAAACTTTTGCGAGAATCAACGTTATAATTTATTTTTGTTAGAAAGAGAAAGAGAAGGAATACTTACATAATAATAATTACGTGTTGAGTTGCAGATGACTATTTCTAGCTAAAAAATGAAGAAGAGAAAGTCTTCTACGAATACTGTAAAAAGTTTAAAATGTTAATTAATCTGCAGTTTCTATAAAATACACATATGAGAAATCTTAAAAAAATAAACACAACATAATACTTAGACATTTTATTTTCTTCTTTTATTTTTCCAATTCTCTTTTCCGTCTCATAATAACGTACTAGATTTATTATTTTTTATTTGCAAAATTCAGTCAAAACAAAAAAAAGTCTATTTTTCATCAATCGTTTTACATGTCCTCTGATCGTCTTTTGAGTTTTCACGGCTTGGCAATGTTGTTTATTACCTCTGGTTAAGAAACATCATCCCACATAAAGACAATAAACTATTCAATGAGTCAACATCGCATTTATCCTGATCGACGGGCGTTTGCGTGATTACGAGATTGTCCTGATGGGAGTTGGGGAAGATTTGTGCGGACGTCGTCGCGTCGACGCGTCGCAACGTTCTTGGCATCGGCCAATACCGGAGAATGATATCTAAGTAACTCTTCGGCCGATACACATCGAAGAGAATTGAAGACGACTCCAACTCACATCGGATCACAACGAAGCTACGCATCGTGTCGCACCGCAAAAAAAACATCGCAATGTCTCCTTGTCAATGAGGAAAAACGGACTGCAGTAATTCTTTGAGATATATATAGCAGTTTTTATTACGTCCCTCAACAAATCTCATTTTGTTTTTTACAAAGATAAGGCGGATGAAAACAGAAAAAGATTGCATGCAAAGAATAAGCCTCTGACTTAAAAAATTTTTTGAGAAATCAATTGTTTTAAGATCTCTCCTAGGAATGAAGAAACTTCTCTTTCGTGGAGAAAGTTTCATTTCCGTCAGTTTTAATAACTTTCCTTTCGCTAACAAAATTTACTGACTTTTTTAGATTGTTCACGCTACGCGGATTGCATCTCAAAGATGATAGAAGATTGATTGAAAAGACAAAAATTCTACGGCAAACGGGTGAAGAACGCGCGATATGCTTGGCGGAAAGGGTTAAGACATTGCTCTGTGATGCTCCCATAAAAGTGGGCGAGGCATTGCCCTCCCGTGAACTTTGGCAGATGTAGGTATCCCAGCCAGAGCAGCCGAATCCTGAAAGGAGGCGAGAGTGACCTGTTTTGCGTCTCGCTTCTCGGGGTTGTACTCTTTGCGCCTCGCAGATCCTCCTGCTTCCTCTCTTCTCTTCTCAACCCCGGCGCGACGAATACATCCGAGTCGTGCCGAGCTTCCACGACGGGGTGCGAAAGAGAGAACTACGCCCTCGTGTTTGCAAGTGCACATATCAATCTCTCTCTCTCTCTCTCTCTCCCTCTCTCTCTCTCTCTCTCTCTCTCTCTCTCTCTTCCTTTTCGTGTGTGCGTGTGCGCGCGCGTGAGCGCGTCTGCGTGTACAACATGCGTGAATGCGCGAGCTCAGGTCTTCAACTGTATGTACTATCGGGTACTGCGACAGCGAATGAAAAATGAAATCCAAGTCTACGAGCTTTTCACTCGGTCACTTATGGGACGCAAAGGGCGCGATTTATATCCAAGATGTATACGGAATTGCTTTGCGCGGATGGCATATGAATAAAAAAAGTGAAGATAGCACCGACACTCATCTCAGAAATTTCTGATAATGATCGCTGTTAACAATAATTGGTTTTGTCTCTTCTGTCAGATATACTGGAGCTACAGACCGTGAAATTATGCGGATAGGATTTTAATAGAATTTATATATATATATATATATGTGTGTGTGTGTGTGTGTGTTTGTATTGCGTGAGCACAGATGCGCTGATGACTATCGGCAATGATAGTGGTTTTCTTTACAAAATGATCCCCCCGTTCGATCCTTATTTCTTTGCAAAAGTCCTGAGAAAGATGCTCTAGAAAATAACTTTTCCATACGTAACTTTAATTTGTTAAAAAGTATAATCATAATTTTTTTAAGACCTCAATAGCTTTTAAACTTTGTACGATTAAAACAAAAACTAATTTTTGCAAGTAAAACTACGAGAGTGTGCGAATAGATAAGAAAGTCCTGGTTTTTTTAAGGATTTGTTTTAGAAATTACATACTTGAAAAAGAGAACATTGAATAGGTATAATAAGTTTAAATATATATAAGAGATAAATATCATTTGTCTCTTCTTTTCTTCAAACAATCGTCATCTTGCTTTCTCTTGTAATCAACGCGCAATGTATTAAAAAATGCGTAGTTCTTAAACAAGTGCATGTGTTTGAACAAAAGTAAATGCTTCATAATTTAGTTTTTCAGGTGTGCAAAAACGAAATTTTATTTATAACATTAGAGTAGAGCGGGACTAGTTGAGCCACTTTTTATTCAAACTATTATAAATCTTCATATAATTATGATAGATTAATGAGAATTATTTTAAAAGGTAACATATAGCATATTTCTAGCTCAAGAAGTAAGCATTTCTTCATAGATTCTTAAAATATTGCGTAAAAATGTTGAATGAAAAAAATCAGAGTAGCCCATACATATTTTATAGGTGGAACATACGTATATTAAGCCATCCCGAAAGGTAAGTTGAGACAAAAGTATAATTGACTACTAAAGATTATATATTATTTAATAACAATAGACTTGGATGTATTAATCTTTATTAAAATTTTTGTTTTATTTATAAAATACTTGTATGTAAAATGCTTTACTTAACAAGAACTAAAAACCCTCAACGTCTTGTATAATAAAAATTAAAAATAAAATATATTGTAAAATTGTTACTAATGTAATGAAAAGTAAAAAGTATTTTTTAAAAACAAAACAACAATTTCTACGATCAAAAACAAATAAACTTTTATATGTGGTCCAACTAGCCTCTAAATCGATGTTGGTTGACATATTTTTTATAACTAAAAACTTGTACATAAAATAACAATATGAACATTAAAGTTACAAAATACACTAATGACTTATATTTAAAAAACTTTCCTAGTTTTTATTACTCACTATATTTGCCACCATGTAGACCAAAAAGAACAGACATCTAATACTTTTACTTTTTGTGCAGACAAACAAAACGACGCTCGTGTTCGCTCGTTCGTGGGTACGGAGCGGCGTATGCAGTGCAGTAGTCTTTGTCTCTAAGCTTTCTTACGCAAGCGTCAACGTGTTTGTACACATTTCGGTTATTAAGATATTTGCAAATCCCAACTTGTTCCTCGGTTCACCTAGCTTTATTGTATTCTAATTTAGATCAGATAAAAACGAATAATGATAAAACAATTTATATTTTATTATGTTAATCTCACAACATATTTTATATACATTATTCTGTTTTATTTGATAAAATGCAAATTCTCTTCCGGAAAAATTATAAATGTTGCAAGACGTTCCCAAACATACGCAATATTTGTACAGAATAATTCATGGCTTGATGTTCGATCATTCGCCGTTTAATGCCACCATTTCTGTGTACACGTTTACTGTTCTCGCATGAGAGCAGTTATTACAGCGATAGGTATTTGGCGAAATGTGTCGGTAGGCTAAAACTTTATCCCGTTTTCTATCTCCGCTCGTCTGGATCATTGCCAGGATAATTTTAGCTTTTATTCGACGCTCAATAGTCTATTTTAATTCCGTGAAAGCGGAGCATAAAATGTGATAGACGGCGCTAGATTTACATAAAGTTTGCGTATTTGCGTAACTAGCGGCGATGTAATCGTCAGCTATCTGTAGAAGTTCTCTCTCTCTGTGTGTGTGTGTGTGTGTGTATGGGTGTGTGGGTGCATGAGTGTGTGTGTACACACATGTGCTCGTATGTACGTATGCATATATACGTAATACAGTTTCATCACTGTAGATTCTGATTCTCCCAGTCAAACCGCAAATCGTATTGACTATCGGGCGCGTATTGGAATATCTGTCAAAAACCACGACATACTGTAATGAACATCTCTTTCTGCTAGCATCCAACTGTAAACTTGCGCGCTTCAGTATAGATCTAAAATTGCTGGGGCGAGCCACAATATCCGCAGAAACTATCAACGAATAAAATTGCCTCAATAAAATAAAAGACTGATAAAAAAAATTCCAACTCTTCTGATTAAACTGAATACTATAGGATATTTCTGTAGAAACAAACAAGTAAAAAAAAAAAAAACGAACAAGTCAGTAAAGCTCAATTGATCTTAAATTTACTATTTACGATAATAGTCTCTCAATAGAGAAATATCATTTGGTTTAAGGTTATTGCGCTTAGAGAGCTCACGGCTCTGTGTTGTATGCCGGCATTGTTGTAAATCCTAGACTCGTAATTAAGCAATGTGGCAAGCTCGTCTCCGAAAAGAACGAATCTAACTCTTATTTAATGATTAAACCACACCCCGCGATGAGCTCCCGCCAAACTCGTGTATCTATGATAGCTGAGAGGCGGAGCGACAGCGGGCTCGAAGAAGATTTTCGCCGGTCGCGATTGGTTGAGTGTTCTTAAAAATAGTCAGCTTGGGTGTGGACCAGCCAGCAAAGGCACATGTAACGCGTAAAATATTCCAACGCACGTCTTTTCTGTGTGTGTGTGTGTGAGTGCGTGCACGCTCGAGGGATGCCATGTGGCGGAGGAACCACGATACACCGATGCCCACAAGTCGTCACTCTGATCTCCGACTACAAGGTTTTCGGATCTGTCGCGCCTGGTTCAACAATTGGCTCGGAAAGTCGCGAAAAGTCCGCAAGAAGAGTGCTCATGACGTCTCGCGATATTAGATATAGTATACATATATGTAAAGCATTTTTAATGGCTAAGAAGAGCGTGTGTGATTTATTTTTTTTTTCACTTCGTTTTTAAAAACAAAAGTGCGCTGATGTCATTTGCCGCCTCGGATTATAGTGCTCAATTGTGACATTAATCACTTAAGTCAGTGAACACGCAAAACATTTCGATTGTCTCTATTTATGAACGGAGTTGTTCAGACTCTGTACCGGTCGCCGGATACGCAAAGATCGCTGCGCTTTGGAGAAACGGACAACAGTAAAGTAAATTGAAAACTTAAATAACAAGCATTGAAAAAATAGAACTCGGACAAATCTTAGTGAGCCCAGCAAATCAGAGCGGAAAACACAAACACCTTGAAAGTGGCCGGGAACTCGGTGAGGTTAAGAAGAGTTAACACCGACTATCGAATGCACGTGCTTGTGTGTCTTCAGTGACCAGTGATTTATCATCGTTCTGAAAAGAAGATAAAAGTAAATTAGCCACTATCGAGGAAAGTAAAACAAAGATAGATTAAAAAAAAAAAAAAAATAGAAAAAAGCATCTCTTTGCAATTTTACACGAAAAATAAATCGCGCCACTTCTTATTTCGATCAGCTGTTCTCTTTGTCGGTGTTAATTTTCGAAGATCATGCGTTTTCAATAATGAAGAAAGAACAAATGAACAAATCGCGTATTAATGATTGATCAACAAAATATTTCCGGTGCCCGGATATATATATATATATGTATATGTAAACATATATACATATATATATATTTAGATCTGAAAAATGTTGTCTGAAAGAAAATTAAACAACATTTAATCTTTCTGCCGAAAACACGATTCGGAACCAGTAACACAACTTCGTGATGACCTCGCGCAACAGGAAACACGTGAACGATCGATGTGCTTTAGAAACTGTCTCAAGTGATCGAGTGCAATCATTGGCGAGACAGTGACCAAGTTTCTCCCGACGAGTGAAATGATGACCCTTGTGACAGACGCGGTGCCTTACGCGTACGAAGCGGTCACGAGATCGCCGTATGACGGTTACCGTCACCACTTGCACCATCATCATCCTCATCGGTATCGGCGCGTCTACACAGAACCCGAGTACTTTCAAGGATATCTCTCTAGGAGAGATACGGACGATCGCGCGAGAATCATCGGCGCCACCAACACGTCGACTGCCTCGCTAAACTATCGCAACGATAGAGTCAGGTATTTCTTGATATAGTTATTTATTATAATAAATATATATACATTTACACACAGAAAAATACATACTGTATCAAGTATATAATAAGTTTATATATCCGCAAATATATTATAAGATTTTCGTAAGTATTTAATTTACTCAAAATACAAATTTACTAAGATTTAGAATGTATTTTAAGTAAATTAAATACTTACAAAAATCTTATAATATATTTGCGGATATATAAACTTATTATATACTTGGATACAGTATGTTTTTCTGTGTGTATATACATATATATTATATGTAAAAAATGATGTACATGTATACATATATATATATATATATATATATATATATATATNTATATATATTGTATATATGTATATATATGTATACATATATATACATATATATATGTGTGTATACATCTATCTAAATAATCTTATCTAATAAGTAATATTAGGATTTTATCCTAAGATGAGACAAAACCACAAAACATAAAATTTCGTTTAGCTAAAATTAGCATGTTCAATGTACTGTCGGAAAAATTAAGAAATATAATATTTTTAAACAATATATTTGTCCTCGTGAAATATAATAATAGGGGAGAGGGGTTGGCCAATGCGATAATATTTTTATCTTTCGTTTGAAATATCTATATATCGAGTTTTCGTAAAAGGAATGTGACACTTGATGAATTAGAAGCGTCTCTGATGAAAGATGCTTTAGCTACTAATGGACATACTTTCTAAAATATGACTAATTACTTTTCATTCTTCTGATATGTATTGTATGACAAGATTGATCGTTCCTTTGAAGCTCTCTCGTTTTTACGGTTCTTTCAACAGTTTCTTGTCGCACTCCAAGCGTTACGTAGAATTTGTACAATTGACATGGGATTTTATTTTTTATTTGTTCTTTCCCTCTATATTGTCTTATTATTTTTTATCTATTGTCTTGCTACTGTAAAAAAACATGTTTTTGGAATTTTTAAAATATTTTGTATCACAATATTATATATCACAACAAAGATTTAAAGATTTTTTAGCATATTGAGCGCGCAAATATTTTATTTAAATAAAATTGTATAAGCACATACTTTTATTGCTTATCATATTTGCTAAATATATCATATGTGACAAGTTTTTTTTCAAATTGTTATTATTTTGAGCAATTAGATAAAATCTGTTCAAACTTCTTTATTTATCTGCTTTGTTTAGCTTTTATCTTTATGGAATGACATATTATTAGATTCCGAAACTAACTAGATAGTAACGTAATCCAATGTGTATGTTTATATTGAAGCGTAAAGCCATTATTGTATATATATTGTTTAAAGCTATTATATATTGCATATATGTATAATATTTTTAACAAGTGGATACTCTTGAAAATTTAAGAAAAGATCGTCTTGGCGAATGAGAGCCGAAATAGAAGATGTTTGTATGTAGTTATTTATATATCATATAATAGTTATTATATGATCAATCAGACGTTTCGATCTCCAAATTGAGATCTTCTTCAGTGATATTCTGGTAAAAAAAAATATAAATATAAATTGGACACTAAACGCAAGAGTAACTCAAAAAACTAATACAAATTTGAATCTTTTTACATATATATATTTATAATTTAACAATTTGGTTTGTATAAGTTTTTTGAGTTACTTGCGTTTAGTATCTAATTTATATTTATATTTTTTTAGTACCAGAATATCACTGAAGAGGATCTCAATTTGGAGATCGAAACGTCTGATTGATCATATAATAAATAATACATACAACAAACATCTTGTATTTCAGCTCTCATTTGCCAAGACGATCTTTTCTTATAATATTTTTCTGACAAAATTATTTGTATTAAAATCAATAATAACGAGTTAATTTGTAATTAAGTATTAGGATTGATACAAGTCGGATGTATGTACGTGCTATTGTACGTATATATATACACTTACTGACAAAAGTTAAGAAACAAAGTAGTTATTTAAGAACTTTGGTGTACAAATATATATATTACTAAGTAATCAAAAATTCTGTGGAGCGATGAAAGTAAATTCAATTTATTCAGAAATGACTTCAGAAATAATGTGCGGCGTTCTGTTAGTTAGAGATTTAATGTTACAAATACTACTTTGTTTCTTAACTTTTGTCAGTCCTTTAAACTTTTGTCAAGACCACAGAAGAAGAACTTGATAAGTCAGTGTTTGATATAAATTCATATACATAAAGATTCGAATTAAATTCAATTCGAAAATTCATATACAATGCTTGATTTGCATTTCATGTGTAAAATACTCAATTTATCTCGTTATTTTTTATAATTTATTTTAAATGTTACATAAAAAATGTATGATTAAAATAAATAAAAAATTATTAAAAACTATTATAAACATGATTAAAATAAATAGGTATTTTTGTGAACTTTTATCGTAAACATATTTTATAATTATTTAAGAAATTATATTATATCTTATCTCATCCATCTCTTTGCAATTTTTTTTTCTTTTGTTCGCTTCTTACTGACATATTTATGGTGGGCCGTGTGAGCGAACCAAAGCCGCAGACGAGAATCGTTATCCCCAATGAAAAGCTGACGACGGTTTTACCGCGCATTAAACCATTTTCACTTCGTTCATCGCATTTCGTCTTTATACGCGTTCCTCTCGCGCCGCGAGAGAAGGTTGTCTCCTCTCGCGGCGAGAAAATACGTTCTCGCGGGACCACCTGGAACGTGTCCAATCGTGGAAACCGCCTCCTGACAAACCTACGCGCCTGCATCCGTTATTAACTACCCGACAGCCGACGATAACTAAAGAATGATTAAAGCAAGAATCTGTGAATTTTGCTCGCTAAATACCCATGTCGAGCTTTCTCGGCTCTTGCTCGCAGGCATGCGGAGACGCAACAACGTTGGAAAGACACGTGAAATTTATCTTCACGAAAAAATAAAATTCTCATATCATAATGATTTATTCAAAAAACAAACACATTTTTATATTTGTATACTTTGAAAAAAAAAAATAAATAAAATACTGAAAACTCAGAACTATATGTTCTTATTTGATCGTTAAATATTGTTTACAAGTTCAAGAGAATTCTCGTGATGTTGACAGATCACAGTCCCGATATACTCTTGATTCGGATGATGCCTCGTCGGTGATATCGGCGGACGCTTCGGCCGATCTCGAGTCAGGCTCTGCGGACGCCGATGAAACCAATGAAACCAATGAGATCAATGAAACGAACGAAACAAGCGAGGCGAACGAATCGATCGAGCACGTGCCTCATCCTCACGTTTTAGATGCTAGCTCGCCGCATGGACCACGCAGATGTCTTCTGTGGGCTTGCAAGGCCTGCAAGAAGAAGACGATCACCGTCGATCGGAGAAAAGCTGCCACCTTACGCGAGAGACGACGCTTGAGAAAGGTCAGTTTCCATAACTCCAGGACACGCACGTGCTCCGCACGTTTTTCAATAACTCTTTCTTTGTAACTCACTGTGCATTCTTTGGATGCACATTTAGAAAAAATAGTAAAATTTTTAGGTATGTTTAATTTTTCTTAAAACGCACACATCAAATGTTTTTTTTTAACAAACTACAATTTTCTGGTAGTATATGAATTTTATTCTGTTTGTTTTTTATTCAATTGATTTATATTGCAATTTGATTTAAAATGATAAAATTACTAATGGGCATTATTCGCTTTATATTTATTACTGAGTATACGCATTTCTGTTCGGCTACTCTGCTCATAATCACTTAAAGCGTGCCACACATGAATTCATATTTTCCAAGTAAACAATCTCAAACAGAACGTGCTGACAGAAGGGAAACATCTCTCGTACTAAAGTGATCGTGTGTTAAGCGCCGCTTTTGATAATTGAATGACGAGCGATGTGGGTACGAAACTAAATGTTAAATCTTGCTGAGAATACTTTGAGTACACTTATTTGTCTAATATGGAAGAGATTAATTAAGAAATTAAAAACAATTTTTATAGACATTTTTTTATTTTCATATTTAACAATAGAAAAACATAATTGTGACGCGTGATATAAATAATGTATTAATATAAATTTATTAATATTCGAAGATGTTTTTCTGTTTGAACCGCGTTAGTGTCGCGTAATGTAAATTTATTCTTTTATTTAAATCTGACGTTTGTAAAAGTATATTTTATACTTACACTTTGTATCTTAACACACACACACACACCGCGTAATATAGCATATAATCATAATAATTCCGCACAATCGACAACGCACGTGGTTAATAATGGAATCTATATTACAGGTCAACGAGGCCTTTGAGGTGCTGAAGAGGAGAACGAGCAACAACCCCAACCAGCGTTTACCGAAAGTGGAGATATTGCGGAATGCTATCGAGTACATCGAGAGTCTCGAGGCGCTGCTGCAAGGAAATCGACCTTCCGAACATCAGGATCATCCTTCCGCCGAGAACATGGTATGCATTACATGTAGATAGCCTAAATTAATAAGATTAGCATATACGACGAGATTGAGCTTGGCAGAGAATTTCCTATTCCGAATACAAATTCTGTGTCTAATATGACCCTGCTAAATGTTGTTCATTAATTAAAAGCCACGGTCGCATAATTGTTGACTGGAGCGGTCGTAATAACGTTTTAATCTTGAATTAAACGTCTTGGCCCTACAAATAAAAATCTTGGTAAAAGATTTACCAAATAATTAAAAAAATTTCTTATTGTTTTTTCTTTTAAGTAAACTATTGGCTGCACACACACACACACATACACACACACACTCTCTCTCTCTCTCTCTCTCTCTTTCTTTCTCTCTAATAATTGAAAAGAAAAACTCTTTTCTGATGAACGTCGTACTAGTGCAGAGAACAAGATGAACGGATTATAAGTCTACTTGGTTCACATATAGTTACACACATGTTCGACACGTGCATCACACACGACTGACTCAAGTCTAATGGTTTTTGACCCGCAACACCATTAGAGTCATATCGTTTTTTTATTTTTTATCGGACGTAAAAAGAGTTATGCCCTTGAATTTCTTGCCTTTAGAAAAACGTGTGTGTCCTTTATGATAATTACCGTAACGAAAATACGCCGATGCAAGTGCATAAAGAAAGCGTTCAAAGCAAAACTGAGCACACAAGCTTCAGCTTGCGTTTTTACTTTTTTGTGTTGTTTAGTGTTTCACACACATGATCTACGTATACGCATGCATGCCAAATTCGCAAACGAGAGTTCCACTTTGCTTGCCGAGAGTTTGTTGAATCTTGCATTGAGCGACGGTCGAATGATATATCGCGGATGAGTGCTTCAGTGAGCTATTTCGATATTTCAGACATTAATTAGAATATAATTGTGTTTTTCTTTCTCGCATGGAACGCCTTCTTTGTCTGACGCGTTACAACCAATCAACTAACAATAAGTTTTATTTATTGCTGTATCAAAATTTACATATATGCGCTTCATGTTTAGTAAATTACGAATTTAATCCTTCACGGACAGACATAGGTCTCCCAGACTCACTCAAAAATTGTGCATCAGAGTTTCTAGTAAAAAGTAATATTTTTTTAAACGATTATATCTTTGCAACTACTAAAGATTTTTTCTATTTTTTTTTTTTTTGGTCGACGCAGAATTGTTCAAACTTCTTTCGAAAAAACAAAATTAAGAACATATTGATTTTTCGCGGAGATATTTGATTTTAAAGTCGCGCGAGTCTTACAGATCTACAGTTTGTCCAACTTGTAGGTCATTTTTTTAAGATCTGTCTGTAAAAGATCATTTTTATATGCATCGCCGAGAAAAAAACCAGGCCAGATTTTCAATTCTGAGAAGTTAGCAAATTTTTCATGATCTTAAAATCTAACTTTTGTGTAATAGAACTAAACAAACTTGTTGGTTGTGAATTTATCAAAATGATAGTTTTTTTATTTATTTAAAAATCTTATGTGTCTCGTGTGTAATCTTATTCGGTTTTGGGTTGTGAATTATTCCGGCTCGTCGAAAGGCGGAAGAGGATTAAAAGGGTACTGGATACCTACTATAGAGACCTGTAAATCGACGTTTTAATATTTCGTTTTGTACCGTATTTACTGCATCAAATCCAAAATGCTTCTACAGAAATAAGTAAATTATGCTAAGAGTTTGCTGTTGTTCTTTGGAATGTCAAAATTCAGCATAAATTTTTTCTTACACAGTTTTCTTCTATAACCTCACCATATATTCATGTATATAAAATTCATGTATATAAAATTATTTCTAAGCTTATGTACGTATTTACACTGAATTACAGCAATAAGTACGACAAAAAAGAATCCAATGAGGTACTCAGATTATGATTGGAATGTGTAGTTGACGAGAAAAAGCGATTCTCGTGATGACAGTATAGGTTATCACATACTATCTTTGTAAATGAAAAAAAGAGCATTACGTACCCATTTTCACCATGTAGTTTTTTATATTTACTTGCTTCAGTAGAAGCATTTTTCATGTGATGCAGTACACAAAATTAGAAATTAGAGAAATTTACTTTTCTAAAACGTCGATTTACAGGTCTCTATAGTCGGTATCCAGTACCCTCTTAAATCGATCTCAGATTTTTTCCGGCTCAAAATGTTACATAAATTATCCGATCTTGCAGAACACGGGAAAAAAATAGATATACGCGATCTCGCGACAAAAGAACTATTTGAACATTTGATACAAGCTTGTTTCCCTTGACGGCAAGCAGCGAGCGCGTGCTTATCCGTTTGCTATTTAAGAGTGGCTCGTGTAGGGGAAGAGTGGCATGAAAGAGCNAGTTTTAGTATAGAGCCAAAAAAACTATTTAAAAAGCAATCAAACATAACGCTTATTGTTTCATTTTGTAGTTTACTTATTCCTTTGTGTTATTTAATAAACAAAAAGACAAAATCTAACAAGCTTAATAAACATATTTTCACTTAAAAGAAAAGTAAAATTCGGCTCTTTCATAACATAATGATATTGAAAGAGCCATCGAATGTTATGAAAGAGCCATCGAATGTTATGAAAGAGCCGACTTCTTATAACAAGAATCTTTGACTGTTTATAAACAAAATAATAAACGAACTATTAATAGACATTAATACAATTGTTAACAAAACATTAATATAATTGTTAACAAACAATTGTTAACCAAAATGCTAAAACTAGTTTCATAACAATCTCTTCAAAATTAATAAAACCATCAACGTAAATTTATATATTTTCTACTTAAATCTAAGTAACTCTTACTTTATTAATCAAACTTTCAAAACAACTTTTAAAATTACAATTGAAAAAAAAACGTAATTTCTTAGGTATCTTTAGAAGCAATTTTGACAAAAATAATTTAGCATCCTTTTTATCCCACATTTTCTATATGTCCAATCAGAATAAAGTTTACACTGAAACCATATTTGCTTACTCTTTTTATAACGTTTAGTGCACACTATACAATTATTATTTTCTTTTTTTTTTATTTTTAATAATATTTTATCAGAATCTGAAGACAAATCATCGTTACATTCACTGTCAGAGCTAGATATTTTATTAAAAAGATTTTTTGATTGTTTGGTAGCCGGCTCTTTCATCACACTATAGTCCAGCTCTTTCAAAACTTTTCCTCTTAAAAATTAATCTCAAAATACACTATCAAATTAACGCTATAAATGAGAAATATTTACATACTTAGGAGACTAAATACATATATAAAATCGTGATATAATAATTTTTGTATTATTTCTTTACACAAAAATGTTAAAAAACAAAGAAATAAAACCCAAAAATTTACGTTTTAATGACAAAATCTTTAATACAATGCACCGGCGCTATTTATTTTTAATAATCTGTCAAATGTTTGTGGATGACACACGTCTAGTGTTGCTATATAAAAATTAAAACTTCTGTGAGATTCGTTCAGAAACTGCCGAATAATTGAAAATGGCTCTTTCAAAACCTCTCTTTCATGCCATTTTTCCCCTAAAGCTGCGTTCTGTTTCAGGCATATGCGCGCATTTATCTATACTGTACGTAACGTGTACTAAGGTAACTGTACCAATATCGAAACTAGTATCTATAACAAGACAAGTCTCTAAAATTTAATTATTATTTGATTAAATCTGTAAGATATTATAAGTAAATTATTTTTCACGTAATGTTCATCCTTTGTAGAAATAGTAAAAATAAAGATAATATTTAATTAACCAAAACTGTAACTCATAAAAACATTTTTTTATTGTATATTAGTTAAAAAGAAGCTAAATCGTAAGTGTTTCTTAGTGAAACGCTTAAGAAATCAGTTGCGATTAAGAAGCATATATCAAAGTATATATTAAAATTTACGAGGTAATTGCTATTATTTGTTTTTATTTAACACATTTCTTAAAATATAATACATTAAAAATTGCTTAAAAATCATTTATTTGTTAAAAATCACGCATCCTGTTATTAGTACACTGTAATATCGACATGTCCCAGAAGCAGAACGACTTGTCCCGATTTCGGTCGACTATCTACAGATATGAGACCGATAGCAGAACAAGTGAATGATTTAAAGTTCGAACACTTGATATTAACATTTTACACTATTGTAATTAAAAAAGGTAAGCATTTGTAATTTAATTTCTTGTAATAATAGTTTAAACAATAAATTCGAAAAATACAAAATAAATATGTTATTTGAAGAAACTAAAACTTAACCTTCAAATTTTTGTAACGAACATATGCCTTTAATGTTTTGTTTATGTTATATTTATATTTTGTTTATACATTTTAAGTTTCTACCAAAGCTTAAGGAATTTACCTTTAAAAGTACAAAATTATGACTAAATTATTAATATACAAATTTATATTTAATAATATAATTAATAATATAGATGTGTATTTACTTAATATATATTAATATACAAAACTATAAAGAAATAATATGCAATGTTTCATTTTCTACAGAAATATGTTTTAATGATATATTTAGATATAAGTCTTAAAAAATAATGTATTTTTACAATAAAAACATTTCCAAGGTATATATATCTTTTCTTCTTTATTTATTTATTAATTTTTATTCTTTGTAATATTTCATTTTTTTACTTTAATTAAAACAAAACCTTTATTCTTATCATTAGTAACAATTCTGTCTTGAAACTGGTACTTTCAAAACAGGACACCGGTACAACCGATTTTGGTTGTCCTGATACTGGTACATTCGCTTAACCTCTTTTTTTGTGAAAATTTATATTAAATAGTGATTAAAATTACTTTTTTAAAATTATTTTTATGATATAATTGCCATATATTTAAGACAAATGATTGTTTTACAAATTTCTTTTACTACATTTAAGCAAGTTTGAATTAATGGTGTTTAACCTTCCTTAAGCGTTCTAATACTGATACAGTTACCTTATATAGATAAATGCGCGGATATGCGTGAAACAGAACGCAGCCTAAGTGACATTCT